TCCTCCCACAAGCCATTGAGTGTCAGCTGGTGGACCCCCACCCCACCCCCAAGAGGCAAAGGCAGGTCTCCCAAACAGGCACACAGGCAGCAAGCCATTGCAAATTCTCTTCCAGTTTGGAGCTGAGGGCAAAGTGACTGGTGGGGAGTGCTCGGTCCCTGTGCTAACTACAAGGAGGCCTAAGGTTGGCACGGCACGTGGGGGGCATCTTGGGGAATACCCCCAGGGAGAGAACACCCTTTCCTCTGAGGAAAGCTGGCCTGCTGCGGGTTCTCTGCTCCCAGTAAAGACCCTCTCTCACCTCCACTGCAGACACTGGGGCGGATGGTCAGGAGCCAGGTCTCACAGCCGGGCACACCCTTATGTGAGGATCTAGGTCAGCATGCAGCGTGGGCGCTCTCTCTCTGGTCACACGACTCCCATGGCAAACGCCCACGACCAAGTGAAGAGTACGCTCTACTGATGATGGGGCCCCCTGAAGCCTGACCCCTTTCCTTGCATCCCCAGTGGGACTGCAGCCAGGTTGGCACAGACCCTCACAAAGTACGTGGCTGGGAGCATGGTTCACCCAGGGCTTCCTCGGGCAGAGGCAGCGAGCCAGCCCCTGTGCGTGGCATCTGTGAACCAGGGGAGAATGGCTCGACACAGAAACAGGAGGGCTGTGTGCCTAAGGTTTCACTGATGATCAGTTTTAAGAACACCCTGAGCCTGGCTTCTGGGCACAGCTGAGCTCTCAAATCATGTCCGCTCCCCCACTGTCAAACGAGAGCAGCCCTTCTCAAAGGAGAACAGTGACCTGGGTTTTGTGGTAAAAATCCAAGCTCTCTACTTCCTAAGCAGCCCCTGCCTCTCTCAGCCAGGCACAACACCCAGTGGTCACCTGCTCGGCTCAGCCGAGTCCCAAGGGCAGCCTGTGGCCAGGCGTTGGTCTGGCACTCCACACAGGGAGCACAGCCACACAGACGGCGGTTTGCCCCAGGTCCTGCAGACCACAGCTTTCAAGGGTGGCCATGTTGGGGGCCTGATGTTTAAGGTAATAACCGAATCTCTGGACTTACTGTGGGGCGGGCCCGATGTGCCCCCTCTCTCAGGATCTGGACTGGGCTAAGCACATCTGACTCATTCCCCGAACCCTGAGAAGTGATCTAGAGTCCAGAGGGGTCGTGAGGCTTGTCACCAAGACACCCACTGTCACACCCCGTGCGTGCCCTCTGTGCAGAGGCCAGCGAGGACCTGCTCTCGAACCACTGTTGCAGGTCCTCAGCGGCCACGTGAGCCCCTGTTGAAGATGGGCTGGGGACAAAGGAGAGCGACGGGAGGCCCCGCACTCCCGGCGGAGGGCCAGAAGGACGCAGGTCTCGGATGGAGGGCAGTGAAATCAGGGAAGAAACACTGCAAGGGTGCTAGATGATCCACACCTGCCCCTGGGCTACGACTCCCCGTATATTTAAGTAGAGAAAACCGTCGTGCTCTCTCTTTAAAAGCTGCTCACGTAACAAAAATACAATTTTCAGGATATATAATTCTTGTGGGAAGTAGTATTTTATTCCAATTCAATCAAATCTGAAAATGATTTTCTTGTCAATAAAAATATAAATAGAAGAAATGCGGAAATTAAAACCTGTACCTGACATTTAAATCACATAAATCCCTCACATTCAGAACTGTCCCCGGGCAGTTTAGCAGGCTGCTGCTGCTGCGAGACAGTCGGGCGCTGTGTGCCCACACGAGGACGAGATAACTGGAAGAGCTGAGGAGGAAGATAGAAACGGGGTTTTCCTGAGAACGTGCTACATGCTGGAGGGGCAAGCCCCAACGCGTGTCCTCATTGCTGGACCGAGTGTGCCCAGGCCCCCAGCTGGCACGGCCAGCAGACCCCCGTGAGCAAGGAGACAAAGGCCAGAGCCTGCAGAGGAAGAAGCAGATGCAGCATTCCCTCCCCCCTCCCAGGCATAGCCCCCTCCCCTCCAACCCAGCCAAACGGCTTCCTTCACACAAGCGTCCACTCAGAAGCCCCTCCCAGAGAGGCCCTGCCCTGGGGAAAGGGCATGCGGCCTGCTGTTGCAGCCCTCAGAAAGACGCCCGCACACTCGCAGCACAGGACAGGGCACGGTGCCCTCAGACAGCCGGGGCAGGTGGACGGCAGCCTCTGCAGAGCAACTCTCCTACACGGCGGCGGCAGGAGCGGTTCCGTCCTTCCTTCCTTCATGCCTGACCATCGAGTGGCCAGAAGGCAGGGTCTCTCCGCCTCCTTCCCGGGAGTGTGGGCAGACGGTGTGCACGTGGTGTTTGTGTTGAAGAAGAAATTCTAGTTCCTAAAACATTCTTCCCTCTTTTGTTGGATGGGAAACTCCATTCTGTTCCACACTAGTTTATGCATCGAAAAAAATTTTTTTTAATCTTTAAAAAAGATTTGAGGAACAGAACGTTGTTTTGATGTTAACAAACGTACGGACACAAGACTTAGGAAATAAGAGTAGGTGCTGCCATGGCGGGGTGGCTACTTGAAGGCTGCAAATTCTCCTGTAGGGAGGACAAGAGCTCGTTTTAAAAGAGTGACCTCAAATCGCCTGAGACACAGACTAGCCTCCCCAGAGGGTGGCCACAGGCAGCCCCGGGTTAAGAACGCCGCTGCGTGAGGAGCCAGCCTCAGGGACATCTAAGGCATGTGCCCGTGCCCGGCCACCACGAAGGGGCGCTCCTTTGTCGTGAGCAGACAGGAGCTCGACGTGTGCTGCCCACTGTCCGCTGTGGCTGTGAACTGGACACCTGGCGTCAGATACGAATGAACAGTGTGTAACTATTCCAAGTGACATACACATTCCACCACAGATACACTTAGAACGGGGCCTGCCTCGTAACCCGGTGACTACCTGTGGTCCGCCGTTACACATCCAGCAACACCATGACTCATTTAACAGCAAAGACGCCTGCCAGCTCCACCAGAACACAACCGCCCTAATCAACACCCTGCCACAGCCAGACGGCCGCCGCCTCTGTGACGCGCCCGCCCATCGGAGCAGCGTCTCCAGAACAGAGCATAGAGCGGACCGCCTTCCGCAGGAAGGGGGGAAGCAGGTATTATCCTTATTTTATAAGAGAGAAAGTTAAGAGGGCCAAGCATCTGTCCACGTCGAAAATGCCAGAGAAGGAAAGACATCTCGGGCCTCCCCACATGCAGGCCCAGGGCACCTAACACAATTCTGCCCCCCACTCCCTCTGGGGCACCCCACACTCCTCCAGCAGACGTGTTTGTCCCGTCTTCTGACCTCCGTCACAGAGCTAGATTCTGGATGGCTAGGAAGAGGCAACCACTGGTCTGCAGTCAGTACGGGCCTCCGAGTCTTTCTGCAGCGGGTGCTCCCCGACATGACTGTTGATCCCAGCTGGCTGCCATGGTAATACACTGACACAGCTGCTGCTGACTGGGTGCTCCCCGAGAGGCAGCCGTGCTGGCTCCGTCTGAGCGCCTGGCAGCGCACACACGGGAACCCTGCTGCCGCCGCTCTGACGCAGGTGCTTCTGTCCGCTTCCCCTGGGTGGGGAGTGGCCAACTGACTTGCCCAAGGCACACAGCCAGCAAACTGCAGAGCCAGGAGCCCAAGCCGGTTTCGGGGGATCCAGAGCCCAGGGCTTGAACAAGGAGAGTCCCTGTCCAGCTTTCAGGCAGTACTCAGTCCTTTTCCAACTCTGCAGCTAACTGTGGTCAAAGTTCACATGGTGACACTGCCCCTTCCATGCCAGGGCTCCTTACAACAATTCCTCAGCAAGATGTCATGAGCCACAGTGGGGGCTTTACCGGGGCACACTGCTGGGCCTCGTGTTGCGTGAAGATGGTGGGAAAGAAGCAAGCAAGGGGTAGAGAGCAATGCCTTTTGTTTGACGTGACAGAGATCCAGGAGCTCAAGCCTGGTCTTCCAAACCAGCGCTGTCGTGGAGCTTCGGAGGGCAGTGTGAGGGAGGGAGGCCCACATGCTGTCTGCCAGCGGCTCCAGAAAGAACCGCAACGCCTGTTGCTTGTGGTCCAAGTACACAGTGGTCTTCAAGTTGCTATTTCAGTGTTTTAAAACATGTCTGTATTTAAAGTAATTGGCGGCTGGCAGCAGGCATTCTTTGGAATAATCTCGGCATCTAGCTGGGTCTGAGCCTCATTTAAGCAAGGCAGGGTTTACTTAACAGCAGCGTTCACAAACAAAACAGAGCACATTCATTCACCACACTGAGCACCAGGGAGAGAGGAGCAAAGGCTCATCTTCTGCAGGACATTTAGACATGGCCGAGGAGCTTCAGGAAAGTTTCCCATCCAGTACAGCAACGGGGCTCCACCGTCTGATTGGTGTGCTAGTCCTCAAACTCAACACTAGTCTTCAAATACAGACTGCTCAGTAAAGCCTCACCAAAGACCCCCAAGTCAAGTGCAGCCAGACAGGCTCCGAGTCTCCCTGAACCAGCCAACCACCTTCCTTCCTTGTCACCATGAGGTTTCCATGAGGGGAAACCATGGAGGGTCACCATGAGGGGACTCAACAGTGAACCCCTCCCCCCACGTCTCTGAGATCATGGAGACATGTAAGGGGCAGATCCACTTGCGGTCAGTATCTTTAGGTTCCACACAGGGGTCTCTACCTGCCCCCACCCCCAGGCAGGCTGCCCCTCCCAAGTGACTGTCCTTGGAAATACCGCCCCCTCCCTTCCTGGCTAAGGACGGACTTTTCAGCTGACCTGGCCTCATGAGGAGCAAGACTAAGAGTGCCTGGGAGGCTAATTTTAACAACAGGACACGCTGGACTGTGATAGGCTATTTGTGGACCATTCCTTCTGATGTGCCCTTTATTCCAGACAGGAGTCCCAGTAGTGGGGGACCCTGAAATGGCAGTGGTTGGGTTTTCCCTGTGAAGTGAATGTCCCCCCAGTGACTGTTAAGACGAGGTGGAAACGGCTGTGGGGATCCGTGCGAGAGCCAGGCACGGTTCCCTTCAGGGGTAGAGGGGGCCGGTTGAGCCATGCCTGGCACACACAGGTGGTACCACAGCCAAAGCCACGCCCATCACTGTTGAGTGGGCCCCACGGTCCTCCGCAGTGGGAGCGGTGTGCACAGACTGCCCTCCTGTAAGAAGCAGGGTCACATGAGCACCATGAGCTGTCAGCGTGCTCTGTCAAACAGCACTGACAAAGCCAGCTGGTCCAACGGTGGGAGGGATGGGGAAGGCCAGGCCCTACTCATGGACACTCACTGTTTAGAGGGAGGGTGTCAGCGATGAGCTACCGAATGGTCCAACACAGGGATGTCTGAAAACAAGCCCGAGCCAAGTGCCCCTCAAAGCATTTAAATCCACAACAAATGGCCTAGCTCGCTCCTCACAGAGGAGCCGATGGAATGGGTTAAAGTACCAGCGACTTCACAAGAACACAGGCTCGTTCCAGGACTGGAGAACAGACCCAGAGCTGGTCGCACGGACATGGACGCCTCACTCACTCACTCGCTCGCTCCCTCGGCAGAAAGGGAAAACTCCAGACGGCACGGGCTCAGAGCACAGGTGCTCCTGTCTCCACGCCCGGACTGTCCCATTTGTCTGTTCTGCAGGAGCTCAGAAGGCCATGGGGGCCTGGGGCACTGCAGGGACAGCTCTAGAGCAGCGCTGGCAGCTGTGTGCCTGTCGGGTGCCTCTGTTCCACCCCGGCAGGAGCAAACCAAACTCCTGACTCCTTCCAGCGGGTTCTGTCGTGACACACACATGCACACTGGCAGGCTTTCGAGAGCCATCTTTCAATTCCTTAAACCACGCTGGCACTGCCTTCCACCACCACCACCAGAGAGGGGTGGGGTGGCGGCATAGGAACTGGGAGCGTTTCCCTCGGTGACAGCACATCTCTTCAGGCAACACTCAGTTGGTGTCTTTCCCCACAGCCTCCTCTGGGGGCCTCAGAGGTGGCCCTGTTTGTCAGGATGCATACGTGGCTCTGTAGCATGTCACCAGAGGGCAGCCCTGGGAAGGGGAGAGCCTGTTCTCCCACACCTGACCCCGTGCCACGGCGACAATGCAGCCCCACCGCCCACCGTCCCGACTGCGCCATCAGTCGACCGTGCCATCAGCTGGGGGTCCTCGGAATCCGGCTAGCACAGCGCACACAGGAGGGCAGGGCCAGGGCCCAGATGAGCCTCACTGGAGGGAGCCTGTCCACTGACAGTTCCAGTCCTGTAGGCCTAGGGCTGGTGGAGTCCTCCTGGGGACAGTTCTGTCTTTGGCATCCGGGAGGGCCATGAAGTATTTGCAAGGCGCTATGGTTTCTCCCATGTAAGACCTCTTCAACATACAGAGCCTCCCCTCTAGAGCACTCTCCCCACTAACTTCAGCAGTGGGTGAACCGCCTTGCTCATGACCAACATGCTCTCCTCCCTCCCCCTCCCTCCTCAGCAATAACCGGTCACCTGTGTCCACGGTGCGTGTCAAGAGTTATTGCTTTAAGGTAGAAAAGGACACCCACTCTCAGGGGCGGTGGTGGAGAGGAGGGGGACAAGAGACACCACAATGCACACGCTGTGGTCCCGGCCCTGCCCCAGCTGTTGGAGATGTACCAGAGACACTTCACGGAGGGCACAGAGTGCAGCAAAACCAAGCAAGAGGGTACCCTCAGGAGGTGGCTCCGCACCTGTCTAGAGCCGTGCTGTGTGTGTTCAAAACACTTGATTACTGAAAATCCGACGCAGAGGACTTTCAGACGAGGGGAAATGGCATCCTGCTTGTACAAAGCCTGCCTTCTCTGCTGCACCCCTTGAAAGAGACGTCCCGTCCCGTCCCGTGACCCCAAGAGGTGGGAGCTCCCTTGAGCACAGGCACACCCGCTCCCTTGAGCACAGGCACACCCGCTCCCTCGCATGCACGCGCACAGGTCCTCCTGGGCTCTGCCCGCCAACACCCGCCCCGCCGGTGCTGGCTCAGTGCACAGGAAACGCACCATATCCCCCCGCTTGGATGGGCGTTTTCGGAGAGGCACAAGCGTACAGACTGAAATCCTCTGTCTGGAAGCCGGCCCGGTTCAAGGAGGGTTCGGATGCACTGCGGTGAATTTTTGGCAACGAGCGGGCCAGCAACTCGATGGAGGCGAGGATCTAAAACACAAACACACAAACACACACACAGTGACAACCTGCGGTGCGAGTCTGAAGGGCCAACACCCGTACGAGGAGGCACCCGGCACCAGAGGTTGTCTGCAGCACACTCCTACAGGACTCCTTACAAAAAGGCGCCCTGTCAGGGGCATGGAGCTCTTCAGGGAAGCAATGACCCAGGCAGACGGCTGCTCCAGTGACGTGGGAATGCACTGTGCGGGAAAGCCCAGGGCTGGGGGTGGGGGGAGATGTGCGCGTGTGGGCTGGGTCGCTGCTCTCTGGGGGCCTAAATGTGTGGGTCTTTGTGGACACCCCCCACCCCCAGGTGTCCCCAGGCGTCGAGCAGAGGGTCTCCAGTGTTCTGAGTAAGTGGGTTCTCCCCAGCCCTGCACCTCACACCAACATTGCTCAGAGTGGCCCCTACTTGGGCCACTGCTGGGTGGATAGCCAGGGCAGGCTGCACCACACTGCTGTCCCTGGGCACCCCTCCTGCGGTCATTCTCCACGTTGGCCATGGCTTCTCTGACTTGTTCATCTTTCTGCTTCTCTTCTAACCTAAAAGCTACTACCACACAAAGGTCGAGTCCTCGCGGGCCGTCTTCTCTGTTTTCACCGCTCTGTGAGCTCTGCCTCTGCTCCCTACTGCACAGCCGGCTATGTGCACGGGACTTCACCAGTTGAGCTGTGAGCTGCAGTGAGTGTGGACCCTCAGTCGGGGACATGAGTGGGAGGGGCAAGCTGGACAAACGCTGGGGTGGGGTGGGGGGGAGACCCCTGCTGGTGGATTTGAAAGTGGCAGGCATGGCAGCCCTGGAGGCCCCTTCCAAGGCTTTCAGCGTGGAAAGGAGCTTTGAGTTCAAAATGTCCGGGAGATGTAGACTGCACTTCGACACCTCCCACCGCACGCACGCACGCGCACGCACAGAGCTCTCACGGAGGTGTCTGTCCATCCACCCCCAGCGGGGCTCTGCTCACCTGGGGAAAGAGTGGCCTCTCGTCGCGTTTCTTCTTCAGGCACTCAGCCGTCAGTCTCTTCATGGCTTTGGGGCAGTTACTGCGGACCTTGCTGAGATCCGGGGACAGGTACCCCCGGCCCACCATGAAGATGATCTGGGAGGAGAGACACACTGTCATGCAGCCTCCATGCGGCCCTGGGCAAGGTGTGTGTGTGTGTGTGTGTGTGTGTGGTGGGGGGGGCGGCAGGAAGGCACTCACACGGCCGCGGGGCCGCGGCACACTCACCACTCACCTGGTCCCTGTTGTTGATGTTGGAGTACGGCAGCTGGCCCGTCATGAGTTCGTACAGAACAATCCCAAAGGCATACACGTCGGACTGGAAACTGTAGGGGTTCTTATCCTGCATGCGGATCACTTCCGGAGCCTGTCAGCACACACCAAGGAAAGCAGGCAGGTTCATGTGACTCGCCTCAGTGACGAGAAGACTGGGGACTGACAGGATTTTCATGGTTACACACCCCTTCTCCTCCTCTTACCCACAGTAAGGGTAACTGACTCCCTCCCATTCCAGGGCTCGGCCAGCACAAAGCACTTTCAGAGCTACGGGAGGTGGGGAGGAGCCACGCACCCACTGCTCACAGCCTGCACTCTGCTGCAGTCTTGTCCCAACACAACACAACACAACACAATGGACTAACAACTCCATTGTAAAGTTTTTGAAACTAAGACAAAGCCCTTTGAAGAGCTCTCCTTCTGGAGCAGCTTCCCCTCACTCTTGTTGGAAGGAGGCTTGAGGGGGGTGTACGCTACCTATTGACAAGAAATGCAGTTAATAAAGTGACCGCGTAAAACTTTCCACAAACCCCCTCCCTCCTCGAGAGTGTCACTCAGCGCAACTCCTGAGACCACGCTTCCGGGTTGGGGATCAGTTCCAGTCTGGCGTAGTGGACCCACAAGGTCTTGCGCCACCGCACAAGGTGCTAGTGGCCACTGTCCTGTCTTAAAGGATGAACCGCCTGCTCAGGCGTCCGCAGCACACCAAGCTTGACAGCCTGCTGCCTGTGCTCCGGCCGGCAGCAGCTCAAACAGGAGGGCCGCACCCGCAGACACAGCTGAGCCCGACTTTCCCAGTCACAGGAAGCACAGCTTCAGATGCCCAGTGTTTCCATACCTCAGAGATCTTTTCCCTGCAGACTTGGACTTGTCTTCCTTTCAGGACACAGTGCCACCCTCCTTACAAGGTGTGCCCTCAGAGGAGCCCAGGGCCCTGACTCCGCACCCCCCTTGGGACCCTTCCCACGGTGCACACAGGAGCCTGGCAAGTGCGGCTTCATATGTCCTCACAGCTGTTTCCTGCAGGGGGTCCCCGAGCCTCTGAGCAGGTGACATTACAGCTTCAGAGACTTGGGGACAGCCCGTCTTCTACTTGGGACAGTGGCTCTAAGGCCTTGTGGCCTCAGGATTCTTCCTCTTGTAAACACAACTCAGGACCCCAAAGAGCTGCTGTCTCATGGGTGGCATCTGTGGGTATGTGCAGTCTCCAAACAACTGAGACCCACTAACAAGGCTCAGTTCATCCAGTCAGAAATAACCTATAACACTGATCACCTAGTTTAAAAAAAAATTCAAAGTACAACAAAACAAGGGTTAGCGGGGAGAACGGGCTCAGCAGAAGCAGGGCCCGCGGCGGCCTCTCCCCCGTGTCGTTCTGGTTGCAAGTGTCAAGAGGCTGGCTGCACCCACGGAGGATCTCAAGGCCCCTGATAGTCTTGAGCACCTTGGGAAGCGCATGTGAGAACAGGGGTACCCAGAGAGTCCGGGCTTCCACCGTCCTTCCCACAGAGCAGCACCCAGACGAGGGTGCGAGGGCTACACAGAGTGAAAACTGACCTCGTCCTGCCAGGCTCTGTCCAGTCTGAAGGGGTCACTTTCCAACTCAAGACTGACATATAATGTGAAACAAACTCTCTTGAGAAGAGCCATTTGGGGTATAACCTCGGACTGGCTGCAGACCCCACTTCTGAAGAGGCAAGGCCCCCGAGGTCTGGAAAGAGGGTACCCCAGCACTTCATCACAAAATATTTACAACAGGCAATTCTGAATAAAAGTCAAAAGTGTTTGTAAAAATCTTTTTTGGGGGTGGTGGTGGTGGTGATTCAAACATTTAAATTTATTCCACAATATACTTGTAAAGAGAGAGGAAAGTGGAACTCTGCATGATAGCAATCTGGTGACTTGGGAGCCCTGGCGGCAAGGTCTGCAGTTCAAAAACCGCTCCTGGGGCAAAGACGGGCTTTCGACTCCTCTCAGAAAGCCCGGGGCACCTCCACCGGTCTGTCCCGCAGGGCAGGGTTGCTGTGGTCAGTTGGTTGGTCGTCGGTCTGCAGCCCATGTGGTTCCCCCGCCCTCCCAGACAGCCCCGCAGGCTCCACAGCCGGTCAGGAGGCTCTTACCATCCACAAGATGGATCCTGAGAGCTGCTCAAACTGGTGGGACCCGCTCCAGCGGGACTTCACGGTGGCCAGACCGAAGTCGCCTATCTTCACCGTGAGGTCTTCATGAAGAAAGATGTCTGAGGGCAGTTAAGTGAAGGAAACGACAAGCCTTGCATCCTGTCAGAGCAAACGTGATGACCGCTTGGGTCAGCCCCCAGTCCCTGCCACTCCCAATATGGCATCTGTCTGTCAAAGACATTAGGGCTTTGTGGCTCCCGTAAAGAGAAGAACCGTTTCACAGCAATTGCGTTCAGATGACAGCACCTGCCTGGGGGGAAGCACATCAGGCCTGGGTGTGCTGGGGAGAGGCCAGAGGCTATCCCATGTTTGCAGAGGGGCCTGACGACCCCCCATGGGCTTCCTGGGTGGGCACAGCCTCACCGCGAAACGCCAGTACTGGTAGGAGGGGCTCTTGTCTGGGCTTAAGGAAGGTGAAAGACCACACTGTGGCTGCCTCTCGGGGCTCTCGGGCAGGCTTAGGCTTAGGGCTCAGTGACAGACGCCAACACCGTGAAGACTGAGCAACTGCTGACAAGTGTGTGCTCAGATGGATCAGACAAAGGCAGGTTGTAGAGGCCTGCACAGAGGAAGGCTTTCCAGCTCCCCTCACAGCGCTCCAGTCTGGGCAGGGAGGCGGGCTCCGGAGAAGGGGCTGCATAAGGAAGGATACTATTACTCTTGAGGTCTCTGTGGATGATGGACTTGGCGTGTAAGTAACTGAAAAACAGGACAGGATCGTCTGAGAAAGGGCTCCAGCACGTCAAGGTTGTTACAACGGTCACACAGGCACAAAGCACACAGAAGCCACCCAGCACGCCGAGACGGAGACAGACGGTTCCAGCGACACTGGGCTCTTACTGCCAGACCCAATCTTGCTTTCTGTGCAGTCTACTTCCTCCCTCTGGATTCATCAGCACAGACCTTTCTCTCGGTCTGAGCCTCTGAGCCCCACCCCATCCTCCAAATCAACGTCAGCACCTTCCCACCGCTTCCACCCACCCTCCGGACACTGACAAGCCGCACAAAAACCCAACTCCAGCCAAATTTCCCGTGACTTCTGCAATCCAGGCACCACCCCTGCTTCCTGGGCAGGTGCTTCAGCAGAGCAGGCAGCATCTGCACCCCCAGCGGGGTTCCGCCACATGGAGGGCTGTGGTGCACTGGCTGTCCAGGGGGTTCTGCCCCCAGGGCCAGGGCCAGGGAGCAGCAAAGGCTCATCTGCCATGACTCGGGCAGCGGAAAGTGAGCTCTGGCCACAGCGAGCAGCGAGTTCTGAGAACCAGCATCCATGCCCGCAGGGGGCGGCCGAGGGTCCACAGAGCTGGCTCATGCGCAACGCTCTCAGCTCTCACCCCCACTTCAACATCCTGACATTCGCAGAGAACAAGATTGTGGAACTAATTTTTCAGATAAAATTTGCATTTGAAATGACCACCTTCTCATCCTATTACAGCCTCCCTCACAGACTGAGGAACACACGGCATGTGGAGGCAGATGGTCTCTGTGGAAGTCCTTCACAGATGGGAGACATGCTCCCCGCCCCCCCGCCCCCCACCCCACACACACTGGAGAGAGGCTAAGTGCTGAGCGAGTGGGCTGGTGGAGGAGTGTGGGACCCTTCAGTCCAGAATCGAGGGACCTAGCACACAGCACAAGTGTCAAGACATGTCTCCTTTGAGACAGAAAACACACGTGGGCGGCACATGCGACACGAAGGAGCATGACGACGTGAGGAGCAGGGAGGACCCGGTGTCCCCGCTGGTCCGTCTGTCCGGGCGGGTCGAGCAGAGCCTGTGGGCAGGATGGGCTGGATGCGGCCTGCACCCAACAGTCCAGAGATTTAGGCTCGGGGAGCTCCCCGACGAGGATGGGGTGGTCCCCAGTGGCAGAGGAGGGGGCTGAGAGAAAAAGTTTGTCACCGAGAGCCTTTCTTGGCAGGGGTGGCTTCAGCCTCAGTCAGCTGGCTTTCAGGGACGGGCCTTTGGGGCCACTGCCTGTCTTCCTCTTGTCACCTCCCCCGTGCAGTGATGCTTCCAACGGCTTCTGTCAGAGTCCTAGTGGGACTGCAGGAAGGGGCAAAACTGTCACCTGCAGCCGAAAGCCACACGGTCACTCCAGCGAGAGGGCTTCCAGTCCGCCGGGGCCTGTAGCCACCAAGGAGTGTCGGGCATCTCAGAAACTCCACACTAACCGTCTCCGCAGAGGAAGAGACCGGGAAAAGAAGCTGGGCTTGTGGCTACGCTGTGGTGCCAAAGACCGGGGTCGGACCTCTGCTCTCAGAGACCCCGTGTGCCAGAGGGTCAGCTCCACGGGGCTCTCGGGCTGGGACCTTTGCTGGTCCTTCTTCCAAGGCACCGCTGGGTGGGTTTCCAACGGCCAAGCCATCCAGCAGGAGCCATGTGCCGGGCCGTCTGCAACCTCGGGGCTCTGCAATAAGGTGCTCTCTGCCGGGGCACCTTCACTGCTGGGCACTCACTCCGCAGCGAGCACAGCTCCAGGTCTCGGAGGGATGCAGAAGCTGGGGTGTGCTACTCGACACCACCTGTTGCAGGCCCACTCCCCCCAAGATCCTCCCCAGGAAGTGAGTTTCTAAGAAAGGCCTGCAGGTTCCGCTCTGGCTACTGGTCGTTAGCAGTCTCTCCTGCATTCGTGTTCTGCTTTGGCTCTAAGAGGGCCTGGCTTCTCTTTCTCTTTCACACATGCCGGCTGCTAGGATCGCCTGACATGCTCCGAATGCCTGCCTGGGCCAGGCAGGGGACACACATGGCAGGGGACAGGCTGTGCAGGCAGGGGACACACACGGAGGCAGAATAAGGGCCCGCCTCCATGCCTGTGCTAGTTTCAGGAGGGACAGACAGGAGCAGCATGCAAGGTGAGCACAGCGACCCTCTCTCACCAGGTGACGTGACTGAAAGGGAAGGGAGGGCAAAGCCCTAGGAGGACAGAGCTCTCGCACTTGTCTTTCCCGCCGTGGCCCTGAGTCTGGCAGGTCCCGGTGTGCAGCACAGAGGCTCGCTGTGTGCATCCTGGCTGACCACACGCTGGTGGACGGGCTAGGCCACCAGCGTCTGGCAAAAAGCCTCAAGGAGCAGACACACTCGCTGAAGTGACACCAAATCGGGGCTGGGGTGTCAGCAGTGGTTACAGGAAGGGAGGGGGAAGGGGAAGCTAGCCCCCTGAGCGCCACACCTCTCTGTCTGCTGTCACTTATTAACCTGAGTGTCTGAGGCATCCCCCCGACGAGGCGATGCGTGGGGAGCAGTCTGCATGCTACAAGGTGTCAGGCCGCTGAGGACACGGATCTGAGCACTCAGAGAGCCTCCGAGCTTACGTGCCCCGCCGAGTCACTGTCAGCTTTTGGCCGAAGCGACACCAGATGCCTTTTGTCCCCTTCACACTGCCCCACTCGTTGGCACACGCTGAAGGGAAGCTCGAGCCTTTGCAGCCAGCCCAGGAGCAATGCCCAAGCAGAGCCCTTTCTCCTGACTCACAAATCGGAACTCCACAGACAGGAGCCAAGCTCAGTGCCGACTCAGCCACCCCTACAGGGCAGGCCAGGGCAGAACTGCCCAGGGAGTTGCTGAGATGATAACGTTTCAGGGGAGCAGACGACCTCACCACTGCTCCCCATACAAACAACTCCCCTTGATGCTCAGAAAGGATCAAGACACAGCTTTTCCACTTTCACCTCGCTGGCATTGACAGTGTGCACACAGAGAGAAGGCCGACTCCCAAGCGTAACGAGCTGTCCCTCTATCAGTGTTGCTGTGCTGCCCCTTGATGGCTGAGCGAACCCATCACGGCCAGCTCAATGCTTCCCACCGAGGACCCGGCCCCCCAGCGGGAGGCCACCTGAGTCCTTCCTTAGCCCCAGAGCACAGTCAGACGGGAGGGGACTTACTCCATGCCCTGTGCAGTCTGCCGTGCGATGTCGATGAGCTTGATCATCTCGAACTTGGTCTCGATGATGTGCAGGTGGTGGTACAGGCTGGAGCCCTCACACCACTGGGTGACGATCGCCAGCTGCGGCTTGGTCGAGTAGCCCATGAAGAGGAGAATGTTCACGTGTCGTGTTTTCCTGGGAAAACAAGTGAGGTGGGAAGCTGACCAACTTCAGCAAGATGCCAGGCAGTGTGCCAAGCAGGGGACACGGTCTGAACAAAGGACTGCACATACAAAATGGACAAAGGACAGCAGACAGTACAATCTAGTAGAGTCATACCTCCCACTCTACCGAGCAAGGGCTTTCATTGTGCACCTGACAGGCAGGTAGGTGTGCAGAGCTGCTTAGAGTGTCTCAGGAGGGGCTTGAGGAAAGTGAAAGGAAATAGAGGAAAGAACTAGGAGGCAAAGGGCATTTACAGAGGTCTAAATACAGGCATGTACATACGTAAATATATTTTTATGTGGCGATGGGGAAATAGGCCTGTGTATATATATTTATAGGTTTAGTATTAAGGAAGCAGATGGACATTGGGCCTCTACTCAAATACTCCCTCAACACAAGAACACTTTGTTCTAATAATCCAGTACTCTTGAGATGTTCACCATCCCGACACAATCTCTGAAGACAAAGCCGGTGCATAAGCTAATGTGGTGAAGAAAGCTGACGGTACCCTGTTATCAAAAGACATAGAGTCTGGGGTCTTAAAGGCGTGAAGATAAACAAGCAGCCATCTAGCTGAGAAGCAATAAAGCCCACATGGAAGAAGCACACCAGCCTGTGTGATCATGAGGTGTCGACGGGACCTCAAAGACCCAGAGCAAAATATCATAATGTGAATGAGGGGGCAAGTGCGGAGTAGAGGCCCAAAGCCAACCTGTAAGCAATTGGACATCCCCTTACAGAAAGGTTGAAAGGAAAGGTCGAAAGGAGAAGACGGGCCAGTCAGGGTGCAGTGTAATACCAATGAAGCATACAACTTTCCTCTGGTTCTTTAATGCTTCCTCCCCCCCCCCCACTATCATGACCTTAATTCTACCTTACAAATCTGGCTCCACCAGAGGATGTACACTGGTACAGATAAGAACTGGAAACACAGGGAATCCAGGACAGATGATCCCTTCAGGACCAGTGGTGAGAGTGGCGATACAGGGAGGGTGGAGGGAAGGTGGGGTAGAAAGGGGGAACCGATTACAAGGATCTACATATAACCTCCTCCCTGGGGGATGGACAACAGAGAAGTAGGTGAAGGGAGACACCGGACAGTGTAAGAAATGACAAAATATAATAATTAATAAATTATCAAGGGTTCATGAGGGAGGTGGGCGTGGGGAGGGAGGGAGAAAATAAGGAGCTGATATCAAGGGCTCAAGTAGAAAGCAAATGTTTTGAGATGATGGCAGCAAATGTACATATGTGCTTGACACATGATGTATGTATGGATTGTGATAAGAGTTGTACGCGCCTCCAATAAAATGACATATATATATATATAAAAGGAGGGGCTTCTGCTACTTAGGGTATTTTCCTGGGGGGAGACAGGGTCATTTTCCCCTAACTCATGACGGGTGGTCCTGTGCTGTCCCTGGACTGAGCCAGACTAGGTTTGCAGTCTCTTCAATACAGAAGCCTTTTCTTGTCTTGTTTTAGTACACGTGTCACCTTAGGCCATACCTCAATTACGTCAAGTAGATAAGAGCCTTCTCCTTAAAACCGTCTTCACATACGTCTTAGCTGTAGTTGAAAACTGTTTTCACTGTCCCCGCGGTGACACCGGCGGTCCCTCCTGCATCACGGTCTCTCAGCCTCCCCCAGATCCGCCCCCTCTTCGATGGCTGCTGTCCACCACATCCCCACAGGGGCCCTCTGATGCTCAGGGCAGGCCTTCTCTACTAAGCTAACTGCCCTTTGGTGTAAATAAGACTTAGAGTTTAAGGCAGAAAGGTAATCTGAGCATGACAGTTGTGGGGTCCATCCAGCCTCTATGGCTCCGGAAGGTCTGGATCCCGCAGTCTCTTCTGGATGCGCTGTTCCCCCTGCACACTCAGGCTTGCTCCTCAAGCCCCAGGCACAGGACGGGGCACAGTCTCTCCATTATTGGCCGGGGAAGCTTTTATTCTGACAGCACCAGTTTTTGAGAATTATTAAACTATTATTTCCACGTATCAGTTTGATAGTAGGTGCAGGTCTCTTACGAGGAGGCACGCCCCGGGAAGACTGGGAATCATACACACCAAACTTGGAAGGACTCTGCCCTGACGCTGGCCCACTCTGAGCAAACCCGCCCAGCTCAAGGACAGAGCCCCGGCCCTCACCTGAGTACTCCTACTTCGTTTTTGAAGGCTTGTAACTGCTGAGGTGTGGGTGCTGTCACATTCAGCATCTTCACCGCCACGTCACCTACAAGACAACACCATGTCGACAGTCACGCCAATCTCTTTGAACTTAAAGCAAAAACTCCGTGGACTTTAAAAATCGGCCCCCAATCCATACAAGAGGGCCAGGAAGTCCACGAGGATGGCGCTCTTGTGTCTCACAACACCCCCATCCATCAGCCCCAAGCCCCTCGGCACCATGGCCGGCAATGCTTTCACCCATGCACGCTTCCCAAGGAAGGTGAGCCCTCAGTGCTCGGCTTCCCACAGAAAACAGCAACCTTGCTTCTGCACAAGAAGTGCACGGATCACGATGACAATGGTGTTCACGAGTGACTCTGAGCTATGCCAAGCAGTGTGCACATGGGTGGGCAGAGCCAGCGTGCGAAGCAGCCAGCAGCAGGCACTATGTCCAGCGTGTGTGCAGCCCCTCCTCCCTTCCCCCCAGGTACCCCACACGCACATGGATTGGCCTGGTCACCAAAGATCAAGGACTAGAATGTTCACAGTGGCCCTGCAGCGTCGTCCCATATGGAAGTGACCTGAATGCTTATCAGCAATGCTCATCGTGCTAAGGCAGACGACGGGCACGGCTGATGAGCAAGCCTGACAGAGGCCGGGCAGTGGCCCTGCCAGCGCCTCTGCTGGGGGATGGGGTGATTCACAGTGGGCTTCCAGATGCCGGCCATGCTCCCTGGCCACTGGGTGAGGCCTGCATGAAGTGTCTGTTACTTTGTACGTACAAGGCACTTCAAGAACAAGTTAAATTTGTATCCGTTATTCTCAACTAGCAAAGCAGACACAGCACACACTGTAAAAAGTTTCAAATATTGTATGCATCAAGAAAAAGTACAAATCCCTGTAAGCAGTATCGCTCAGTGAACACCACTGTGCCCTTTGGAGCGGTGTGACCATGTACGGACAGGAAGCAATGGCCACTTGAAAGGACATGTCCTCTTCTTTACGAGGCACGTACATGCTTGTACACAGCAGCCTCGGCAGGCGCTGTACGGGCAGCTTTCCTAGGTCACTGTCACACCTGCACGGGCACATAAGGAAGTACCCACTGCTTTACCCCGTGCCTCGTACCAAGAAGAGCTTGAGTTTATCGCCATCTGTCACGGTCATTAACAACTGGGCGGGAAGTCACTTGTTCACCCTTCTGTTCACTGCTGTCCAGCCGCAACCTCAGGATAAAGTCTTGCCGATGGAGCGGCGGGTTGCAGCAACACGCCCACCTGTCAACTTCCAGCACGAGCACAGCCACAGCTCACACGTTGTAGACAATGTGGAGAGGCAAGGAATGAGCCCCACTTTCAAAACGCTGTGTGGTGCTGGAAGCACAGTGAGACTGGACACTTTCCTCTGCTAAGGACACTTCTTGCATGCTGTCTTGGGGGTTATCATATAAAGGCGCTCATGAACAGGGTGTCGCCAAGAGGCTGCTCACACTAACTGGGGGCGGGGACGTCACATACGCACCGTGCCACTTGCCCTTGTAGACGGTTCCAAAGGACCCCGACCCGATCCTCTGTCCCACGGTGATCTGCCCATCGGGGATCTCCCAGTCGTCACTTGAGTCCCGTCTTCCTAGGGTTTTCTTGGGGAAGACAGGGTGAAGGTCAAACCAAGTCACACTAAAAGGGAAATCCTTCCGCCGCCCACTGTCACAGCCTCATGTCTGTCTAAGAGGGCAGGGGCTAGGAAGAGAAGCAGATCTGTTTTTATAAAACACCCTCTGGAAGAACCCTTGACACATACTCAACTTGAATTTCAGATCCAAGTCAGTATTGCGATAGAAACAGGAAATCTTTTGTTGTGTTTAATCAGAAACACACGGGACTACAATCAACATAACAACTTGTCATCTGCAGGCCACGATGGGCGGGACGAGCGGCACACACGGATGGCTGGTTTGGGGACCAGGGCCCCCAAAATGACAGTCAGCAGCCCCTGGTAACTGCTGGTCACTGGTCAAAGGATGTGGTACTCACGCCTCACTCCCTGCGCTCCACGGCCAAACGACCTACCGTCCCTTACAGAGCCTCCGACCAAGCACTCGGCCCACCTCCCCAACAGCTGTTAGTTTATAAATACAGAGGCGTTGAGCAGCACACATTTATTTCACTGTGGAAGAGGGAAGGGCCTCTGGTAGCTCTCTACGTTCTAGACTAGCCCTTTGGGATATTCAAGTGTAAGCTGCCCACTCTTCCCCGAGTTTCAGAAGCAGGATGTCGTTCCTCAGTCTCCCAGAAGAACATCACTCTGAGTCAGAGGCGGGTGAGTATCGTGCTGGGACGATGCTCTGACACACCTCCCTCTGGGTCTGCGTGTCAACACCCCTCAAAGATGCATCACTGCACCCAGAGCCCAGTCTCACCATGCGATTCCTGTCTTCTGAGGACGACGAGGACTTCCGCTCCCGAGGTGGCCCTGGAGACTTCTGTAAGGCTTTCACGCTTGTGAGGGAGCCGGGTAAGGATGCAGGCGGGGTGGCCGACAAGCCAGTGGTGGACCCTAAGGCCGGGACAGAGAGAAGCCCGTTCAAGGAGCACGGGGCCTTTTGGAACGGACAGCGACAAATGCAATGGCTCCCTGTTGTTCTGAGATCTGCCCCTCAGGCTGCAGGCACGCACTGGGGTGACTGCTTCAGAGCCTGCAGGAAAAGCCATTCCTCTATGGGGACAAACACCTACAAACATCCATTTCCAAATGCAGCTTAAAAATGATAAATCTCCAAAGTCCGGGCCTCCCTGGCACCCTCGTCTGGGGCCTGCCAGGCCTGGGTCCTCTGTAGCGTCACAGAGACTCAACCCTGGCAGGTCTGGATGCCCCCCAGCCTCTCTGCCACCAGGGGTTGTGCTGGGCTG